ATTTTGAAAAAAAATGCATAATGGTAAGGATTTGCATACTACATAAAGTCATGGATTTTGTTTTAAGAATACAATTAGATTGTTAGAGGAAAAATGCTTCAGTGTACCTTTATATAATAAACAGGTTCTTTAAAAAGGTCTGTGTTTCATACTTTAATCTAGAAGCGAGTCAGGTGCATTGGGACATTTTAGAACTTTGTTTCTGTGCAGTAGATCTCTTATAATACAACCTCCCCCCCTTCTAGCTTCTAATTCTTCTATATTATAGAAGAATTAAAAAAAGCTATAGCTTTTTTATGGGTAGCTATAAAAGCTACCCATATCTCTCAATTTAAACATTGTATTAATGGTAACAACTGTTAGTAAGCCCTTAATATGTGCAGGGTAATGTTCTCAAAAATTTAAATATATTTCCTCATTTATTCCTAATAGTGGATAAAAATATTTTATGAGTTTTCTGATTGTATAGATGGAACTATTATTTTTCTAATTTTACAGATAAGTGAGGAAACTAATTGACAAAGATTATTAATTTACCCAAGGTCATACAAACTGGAAACAGTGGAAATTAGATTCAACTTTCCTGCCTTTTTGTCAGCAGTGAAATGGAAAATATATACTTGTTTGGTGATATTACTTGTCAAAAAGATTCAGTTTATGATCTAAATGAAAATTGACATGAGCTAAAAGAAAAAACAGTCTTTCCAATCTGTCGTAGGTAGGAAGTCACGGAATAGCGGCAGCATGGGCTGGTGGCAAAAATGGTCGAGAAGTCATGGACCGGTTCTTTCCACTGGCTTCAGATCTCCTTTCACCAAGAGGATTATTCTATTTAGTTACCATTAAAGAAAACAATCCAGGTAATACATGCCAGTTTATCATTTAACCATTTACTTTGCTGAAATCAAGTTAACAATGTAAAAGACTATAATTTATAAGGTAATGTGGCATGTTAATGAATTTAATCACTGACGGCAAGTACAGGCATAAATTCATGTTGAAAGAGGAAAGAGATTTTAAGAGATAAATTCTTTTTCATTTTAAAAAATATTGTCTTCTCTTTTTGTTGTCAGTTTTTCCCCATTCATAAACTAATATTCAAATACAAAATCTCTAATTTCTTCTAACAGCACACTCTCAGTCTTGTGAATTTTCTTTCTA